TGACTTTGGGTGCCCAACATGAGAAATTAAGATCCTTGGAGGTTTTTCAGAATGAGCTGAGCTCCCACCACCTGAAAAGGTGACTCAGGTTGGATACGCAAAGACACAGGATCCAGAATCATTAGTAGCTTCTGAAAATCTCAGGCTTTGTTATTACGGATTCCTGTGTTTCCCCTGAAATTGATTTATTGGGTGGTTAAAATCTGTTGGAAACGCTGTAACGGTATAGATTTGTGGGAAAATACTGTTACACTGAGATTTGGGCAATCACACCACCTCATGAAGTTGCTGGGCATGATAGGCACTATCCATTCAGGCTAAATGAGGGAACATTTAAATGCCTCTTTGTTTAGTGATGGCTGAGAAAATGGAAACCCACTGCCTAAGGACTGGCCCGCATGCAAGCTTAGGCAGAGGCTGGGTTATGTGGTCCAAAGAGTTTCCTGGGGGTCTGACAACTAATGCAGGGATGGGGGATTGATTTGGTTGCTGCTGCGTGTGAGAAGCAGGAGAAACACCACAGAAGCATACAAAGAAGGAAGCAAGAAATTCTGACGGACAGAGAAGCACTTTCAGCATGACACTGAAAAAAATCGAAGGAAGCAAGATTTTGGGTAGAGTGTTGGATGGAAAAAGGCTTGGAATTGTGAGCAAAGAAGCTTATCTCCTGCTCTCTGATACTTACTGTTTTCAGGGATACAGGACTTTATGTACAGTCCTTGTAAATAAACAGGATTGCATCAAAGAAATACCTGACTGACTCCATCATCTGTTACTCCTAACAGAAACAACTGGCCAGACCCTGAATATTGGCAGCTAGGGTTAAAAGGGGTAGCAATATTTAGACTGCCAAGGTTTGATGCTTTGCTTCTCCCTGTAGCTTAACTTCTACCCAACTACCTATTAATTTCACAAGATTTTTAATCACGGTCAGTGGTGAGTCAGGAGCAGTAATAGCTAGAGCCTCTTATTTTGCAGTTGTCCTTACTTGGTGCCAATTCTTTGCCCCGATGATGTGGTTTTAGACCTTCCTAGTTGGTTGCATATTGGACCTGCACACCTAAAATCCATCTACTGAAGCTGTGCAAAGATCTGTAAGTACTGTTGGACATAATGCTCTGCTCTTTGTCCACTTTGAAATGGGACATACTAACTATATTACCTAGTGGAATTGGATAGTACTTGCACTTTGCGGTGTATATGTGCACATCATTCTTTACAGGGAGTTGCAATGAGCTTTTATTTAAAGCTACAATAATAGGGTTACTTATTTCAACAGAAAAATATTGAGAATAAAAGACTTAAGTCCATGGCATCAACTGAAATGAATAGGCATTTCTGATTCCAGAGTAGCAGCCATGTTAATCTGTATCCGCAAAAAGAACAGGAGGACTTGTGGCACCTTAGTTAGTCTCTAAGGTGCCACAAGCACAGGCATTTTTGAGGAGATGGCGGGGCATCAACGTACCTGAGTTGCCTTGTATGTGCCTGACTGTGAAACTGCAACTCTGTTTTAAATCAGTAGAACTTTTGTTTGCACAGTAAGAGCAGAATCATACCTTGTGCACACTTACCGGTAATGCATAGGTAACAACTTCAACATGTCATGGTGGTATAAAAGTTTTATTGGCATAAGTCTGTGATCATCACATTACTGATGGAAATGGGGAAGACCATGGGTGCTGGGAATAGAGCTGCTGAGGATGCTGCTGCACCCCCTGGCTTGAAGTGGTTTCCATCATATACAGGGTTTACAGTTTGAGTCGGTGGCTCTCAGCAACCCCACGGTACAAATTGTTCCAGCATCTCTGGGGAAGACACAAATAAGCTAGGTATGTCAGCCCAAACACATGCCTTGACACCACATCATCCTATGATTGGTTGTTTTATGTCATGTGTGTTACAGAAAATTTTTTTAGGAATCCTTTACAGAGTGCTATTGAAACTGTTTTGTTAGTTTTTATTCTTTTGTATTGTATCCCTCCACTTGTAAAGTCATGTGTCTGAGTTACCAGGAGTTCAGCTGAACCAGGAACCAATAGTCAAAAAACAGAAACAAAAAACCTTCCAAACATGCTCCAGAATAACACTTGTATACATGATTTTTGAGTATGATGCCTTGGGCCTTCCCCAGGCAAGAATCTGGGTCCCATTAGGAAGCTGTGAATCTGCCATCTCCAGTGGCATGAAGCTTCTGTTTCTAGCCCTTCAGCAATGGTTCTCAATCTTTCCCAGGACATCTTTTTCCATACAAGGGCTCCCACCCCTTTGTCATGACTCCCAAAGCTTGTTCATGAGCTCTTTGGGAGTTGAAACCCCCGAGACTGAGAATCAGTGTCAAATTCCACCCCAGAAAGAAGCATTCAGAGAAAGCCAATATTTCTCAGTGTGGTCAGTGCGTGTTACACCTGGGCCTGATCCAGTCTGACTCTATTACAGTCACAGCTACAGACTCTGGCTATAGAATCATGGTATACACGGGGTCCTGAAAACAATTACTAACAGTTAAGATCGCAAATCATCAGAATGATCCAACTTGAAAAAATGGGTTCTACGATTAAAATTAAATTATAATACTTACAAAAACTCAGTTGAAATGAATAGGAGTGGGTGAGAGGGGAAATTTTACAAAGGTTACACTCTGTCCGCAGGGTAGGCTTGTGCTGATAATATCTGGATTTGAGAGGCCTCTTCTTCGGCACCTGGGCCTTACTTTGCTGTCACTTGGATCTACCCACTGTGTGACACCATGGACTTCATTTCTATCCGCCTTGTTGATAGCCTGCCATCTTTCAAAGATATGCAGTTATGTATAAAGGGGTTTGTGTCTTGTAATGACAGAGGAGCAGCGTATGCTACAATCTTTCCTTACAGTTCCCAGCTATTTTTGTTTAGAACTGGCTTACTGTCGATGTAATTTCTTTGAGTATGGACCATAGTGCTGCCTTTCTCTGCCAGTTCCGCCCATTAATTTTCAGCAACAAGTAACTCTTGTTCTTAAACAACTAAATCATTATCTGGTTTCGTGCTGATCTTCTGAGCTATGATTGAAAGCAATCTCACAGAAGTAAAAATAATAAAACGAGGGCTAGCAAAGTATCTGGGATAGCTCTATTTTAGCTAAATTATTCCTGATTTAATTTGCACTTTAAATGTACTGTTCTTCGTATCATTGCTTCTACATAGCCCATAGCTAGTCACCTGTGCCAAGCCAACCACTTCTTGTTAGTAGCAGGAATTAGGGACTGTGCACGTGAAACTGAGGGCATGTCTACACTACAAACTTAAGTCAACATACAGTCACTGCAGTTTTTTGTGTCCACACTGTCCTTCTCTCTGTGGAGTGCGTCCTCACCAGGAGTGCTTGCACTGACTTGAGAGGGGCAGTGTGGGGGACAGCAGGGCTTGGAGTGGGGAGCCAGGAGCCCAGGCAGCAGCTAGGGTCCCTGTGGGGAGCTGGGCAGTAGGCGGGCCTCAGCTCGAGCCCTCCCAGCCCCAGGGTGACAGCAGAGCTGTGAAATTGACAAGAATGACAGCCAACAGCCAGTCTACACGGACACTGTGTCACCCTCACTACACCGACATAAGCCTTACAACTCTTGTGAAGGTTGAGTGATTATGGCAGTGTAGCAGAGCACTTACGTCGGCGGGAGCAAGGCTGTAGCACAGACACTGATGTAATTAGGTCGACGTAAGCTGCCTCACGTTGACCTAACTCTGCAGTGTAGATCAGGCCTGAGTCTTCCATTCCAGACTGAGGTCATACATACTTCACCCACTCCAGTCCTGTAGTCAGTCAGTTCCTCTGTATCTGCTTCCCAGAGCTGTAATAGAACTTGACTCTCCTCCACTCGCTGTCACAAGAGGAGCAGTAAACATTTTGTAAGTAGTTCAGACTGTTAATTAAAATAGATTCCATTCCTGCAGGGAGCTCTGCATGGCCAGTCCCTGAGCTCTCATTTAGACCTGCACGGAGCTCTGCGTGGGTGCAGGGCTCCCCTGTGCAGAATTCACTGCAGCCTTAACTTTTGATAGGAATTTTTGTTAGTTTCCACTGCAGTACACTATGCTACACACACAGGTGCTTTTGGAATCAGCTTTAGAAATAATGATATCAAGTGAGTGTGGAATTAAACTCTATAAGAAAATAAAGGAAATTGTACAGCAAAAGCAATCTCTGGCTTTTTTAATTATAATAAAAATCATTGGGGTGAGATTTTTCAGAGGCGCTTAGCAAAGCCTTTGTTAGGCACGTCCTAAATTATTGCCTATGTATTTCTATAACACCGATCACTATAGTCTCTGAGCTGTATAAAGGCTGAGTTATTTATGATGTGTAAAGGTAGCATCAAGTTTTAAACAAAATGTTTTTTTTTTCTGCTTTCCTCTTCGCTGGTGGATCTTGGTGACATTTTTTTTTGGAGAACCTAGATAACATCACATACTGCCTAAGTTCCTTCTAAGGTGCGCGGCCGTGCCTCAGCCTACTAAGTGTCTTGCAGGCGCCCAGGGCTGTGGTGGGGAGAGATGCCTCTTCCCCAGCCCTGCTGCAGCTGGGGGAGAGGCACCTATCCTGCAGCCCCTGCCCCGGAGCTGCTGCAGCAGGGAGAGGAGCCTCTTCTCCCCAACGAAGGTGCTGTTGCAGGGACAGAGAGCTGGGGGGAGTTCTCTCTCTCCCTGCTGTAGCCCCGAGGCAGCCTGCACCCCAACCCCTCATCCCCAGCCCCACCCTAGAGCCCTCACCCCCCACACACCCCAACCCTCTGCCCCAGCCTTGAGCCCCCTCCCACACTCTGAACCCTTCAGCCCCAGCCCCGCCTCATGAATTTTGTTATGTGCACCAATATGGCGGTGATGTTTTTGGTTTTGTGTGCGTGTGCCTGTCTCTGTAAAGGAGGAAAACACAATTAGTGAAAAGAGTGATCTCTTTTCATTAACCACAATTTCCTCTTTACAATGACAGAAATCTGCAAAATGCTTATAAGGGTTTGGCAACCCTCTTTTGTTTTTTTTGTTTTGTTTTGAGTTTTCAGACTGATCCTCGCCCTCCAAGTCTTTTATTTCGTGTTTTGCTGTCAAATGAACACTCAAAAGTGAAAGTGAACCTGGGCTGAAAATGGCTTGTTTTGGAGGGGGCGGGGGAAAGGGTTTTTTTATATGAAATCCTAAATTCTTTCTCAGAAGTTCTGAAGAGGTTCAAAAATACTTGGCTCAGATTTTGAACTTGAGCTAAGTTTCAAATTTGTAATAAAATTCAATACCAGGTTTCACAGAACTCTACTGGTTGAAATATTACATTTTGTTTTCTTCCACAACAGGTGAATACCTTATCTGAACTGCAACCATCTCTTCCAAAACCTGATTCAGCAAAGCATTTACGTAGATCTTAAGCCAGGAAGCAAAACAATCTTCAAAATTTAAATTGTGCAAAGTAGAGTTTGGTACAATGAGGTGGATTCTTTAAACTTCCAGTCAACACCTGCATGTTGTAAGTTTCATGAGAGCAGCAATCATTCTACTGCCTGTATGTTCATACAGTTTAGTATTTGTTCCTTCGGTGGCAGGGTAGTGGCAATAGCTCACACCCTGAGAATAGGTGATTAAAACATGGGAAAATTAAGGTAACTTTAGAGCTTTGCTGTGGACTGAGCATGAAAGCCCTGGCACTGATTAAAGTTTCAGAGTAACAGCTGTGTTAGCCCTGGTCTACACTAGGACTTTAGGTCGAATTTAGCAGCGTTAAATCGATGTAAACCTGCACCCGTCCACACAATGAAGCCCTTTATTTTGACTTAAAGGGCTCTTAAAATCGATTTCCTTACTCCACCCCTGACAAGTGGATTAGCGCTTAAATCGACGTTGCCGCCTCGAATTTGGGGTACTGTGGACACAATTCGATGGTACTGGCCTCCGGGAGCTATCCCAGAGTGCTCCATTGTGACCGCTCTGGACAGCACTCTCAACTCAGATGCACTGGCCAGGTAGACAGGAAAAGAACCGCGAACTTTTGAATCTCATTTCCTGTTTGGCCAGCGTGGCAAGCTGCAGGTGACCATGCAGAGCTCATCAGCACAGGTGACTATGATGGAGTCCCAGAATCGCAAAAGAGCTCCAGCATGGACCGAACGGGAGGTACGGGATCTGATCGCTGTTTGGGGAGAGGAATCGGTGCTATCAGAACTCCGTTCCAGTTTTCGAAATGCCAAAACCTTTGTCAAAATCTCCCAGGGCATGAAGGACAGAGGCCATAACAGGGACCCGAAGCAGTGCCGCGTGAAACTGAAGGAGCTGAGGCAAGCCTACCAGAAAACCAGAGAGGCGAACAGCCGCTCTGGGTCAGAGCCCCATACATGCCGCTTCTATGATGAGCTGCATGCCATTTTAGGGGGTTCAGCCACCAATACCCCAGCCGTGTTGTTTGACTCCTTCAATGGAGATGGAGGCAATACGGAAGCAGGTTTTGGGGACGAAGAAGATGATGAGGAGGAGGAGGTTGTAGATAGCTCACAGCAAGCAAGCGGAGAAACCGGTTTTCCCGACAGCCAGGAACTGTTTCTCACCCTAGACCTGGAGCCAGTACCCCCCGAACCCACCCAAGGCTGCCTCCTGGACCCAGCAGGCGGAGAAGGGACCTCTGGTGAGTGTACCTTTTAAAATACTATACATGGTTTAAAAGCAAGCATGTGAAAGGATTACTTTGCCCTGGCATTTGCAGTTCTCCTAGATGTAGTCCTAAAGCCTTTGCAAAAGGTTTCTGGGGAGGGCAGCCTTATTGCGTCCTTCATGGTAGGACACTTTACCACTCGAGGCCAGTAACACGTACTCGGGAATCATTGTAGAACAAAGCATTGCAGTGTATGTTTGCTGGCATTCAAACAACATCCGTTCTTTATCTCTCTGTGTTATCCTCAGGAGAGTGAGATATAATTCATGATCACCTGGTTGAAATAGAGTGCTTTTCTTCAGGGGACACTCAGAGGAGCCCATTCCTGCTGGGCTGTTTGCCTGTGGCTAAACAGAAATGTTCCCCGCTGTTAGCCACAGGGAGGGGGGAAGGTTGAGGGGGTAGTCACGCGGTGGGAGGAGGCAAAATGCGACCTTGTAACGAAAGCACATGTGCTATGTATGTAATGTTAACAGCAAGGTTTACCCTGAAAGAGTGTAGCCACTGTTTTATAAAATGTGTCTTTTTAAATACCGCTGTCCCTTTTTTTTTCTCCACCAGCTGCATGTGTTTCAATGATCATAGGATCTTCTCCTTCCCAGAGGCTAGTGAAGCTTAGAAAGAAAAAAAAACGCACTCGCGATGAAATGTTCTCCGAGCTCATGCTGTCCTCCCACACTGACAGAGCACAGACGAATGCGTGGAGGCAAATAATGTCAGAGTGCAGGAAAGCACAAAATGACCGGGAGGAGAGGTGGCGGGCTGAAGAGAGTAAGTGGCGGGCTGAAGCTCAAATGTGGCGGCAGCGTGATGAGAGGAGGCAGGATTCAATGCTGAGGCTGCTGCAGGACCAAACCAGTATGCTCCAGTGTATGGTTGAGCTGCAGCAAAGGCAGCTCGAGCACAGACTGCCACTGCTGCCCTTCTGTAACCAACCGCCCTCCTCCCCAAGTTCCATAGCCTCCACACCCAGACGCCCAAGAACGCGGTGGGGGGGCCTCTGGCCAACCAGCCACTCCACCACAGAGGATTGCCCAAAAAAAAGAAGGCTGTCATTCAATAAATTTTAAAGTTGTAAACTTTTAAAGTGCTGTGCTTAAAGTGCTGTGTGGCATTTTCCTTCCCTCCTCCACCACCCCTCCTGGGCTACCTTGGTAGTCCTCCCCCTATTTGTGTGATGAATGAATAAAGAATGCATGAATGTGAAGCAACAATGACTTTATTGCCTCTGCAAGCGGTGATTGAAGGGAGGAGGGGCGGGTGGTTAGCTTACAGGGAAGTAGAGTGAACCAAGGGGCGGGGGGTTTCATCAAGGAGAAACAAAGAGAACTTTCACACCGTAGCCTGGCCAGTCATGAAACTGGTTTTCAAAGCTTCTCTGATGCGTACCGCGCCCTCCTGTGCTCTTCTAACCGCCCTGGTGTCTGGCTGCGCGTAACCAGCAGCCAGGCGATTTGCCTCAACCTCCCACCCCGCCATAAACGTCTCCCCCTTACTCTCACAGATATTGTGGAGCACACAGCAAGCAGTAATAACAGTGGGAATATTGGTTTCGCTGAGGTCTAAGCGAGTCAGTAAACTGCGCCAGCGCGCCTTTAAACGTCCAAATGCACATTCTACCACCATTCTGCACTTGCTCAGCCTGTAGTTGAACAGCTCCTGACTACTGTCCAGGCTGCCTGTGTACGGCTTCATGAGCCATGGCATTAAGGGGTAGGCTGGGTCCCCAAGGATACATATAGGCATTTCAACATCCCCAACAGTTATTTTCTGGTCTGGGAATAAAGTCCCTTCCTGCAGCTTTTGAAACAGACCAGAGTTCCTGAAGATGCGAGCATCATGCACCTTTCCCGGCCATCCCACGTTAATGTTGGTGAAACGTCCCTTGTGATCCACCAGAGCTTGCAGCACTATCGAAAAGTACCCCTTGCGGTTTATGTACTCGGCGGCTTGGTGCTCCGGTGCCAAGATAGGGATATGGGTTCCGTCTATAGCCCCACCACAGTTAGGGAATCCCATTGCAGCAAAGCCATCCACTATGACCTGCACATTTCCCAGGGTCACTACCCTTGATATCAGCAGATCTTTGATTGCGTGGGCTACTTGCATCACAGCAGCCCCCACAGTAGATTTGCCCACTCCAAATTGATTCCCAACTGACCGGTAGCTGTCTGGCGTTGCAAGCTTCCACAGGGCTATCGCCACTCGCTTCTCAACTGTGAGGGCTGCTCTCATCTTGGTATTCATGCGCCTCAGGGCAGGGGAAAGCAAGTCACAAAGTTCCATGAAAGTGCCCTTACGCATGCGAAAGTTTCGCAGCCACTGGGAATCGTCCCAGACCTGCAACACTATGCGGTCCCACCAGTCTGTGCTTGTTTCCCGAGCCCAGAATCGGCGTTCCACAGCATGAACCTGCCCCATTAGCACCATGATGCATGCATTGGCAGGGCCCATGCTTTCAGAGAAATCTGTGTCTATGTCCTGATCACTCACGTGACCGCGCTGACGTCGCCTCCTCGCCCGGTATCGCTTTGCCAGGTTCTGGTGCTGCATATACTGCTGGATAATGCGTGTGGTGTTTAATGTGCTCCTAATTGCCAAAGTGAGCTGAGCGGCCTCCATGCTTGTCTTGGTATGGCGTCCGCACAGAAAAAAGGCGCGGAACGATTGTCTGCCGTTGCTCTGATGGAGGGAGGGGCGACTGACGACACGGCTTACAGGGTTGGCTTCAGGGAGCTAAAATCAACAAAGGGGGTGCCTGTACATCAAGGAGTATTTCAGGCAGGACTTCACGGAGGGTTCCAATAAGAAATGGTGCACCTAAGTTATTGTTCTTATTGGAACAAGGAGGTTAGCCTGGCCTCTGACTGATACATGCCTAGATTTACCTCGCTGCACCTTCTCTGTGAGTGACTGCAGTGTGACCTAGAGGAATGAGTCCCCTAGACAGGGGAGGAGGCAAATGAGTACAAAACAAATCTGGTCTATTTCTTGTTTTGACCCACTCCATCTATCTTTTACATCTTTGGCTGGCAGCAGACGGTGCAGAAGGACTGCATGCCATCCACATCTCATGGCTGCTCGGCAGAAGATGGTACAGTACGACTGCTAGCCATCCCCATCTCTTGCCTGCCTGGCAGAAGATGGTACAATACGACTGCTAGCAATCCTCATCTTTTGCCTGCCTGGCAGAAGATGATACAGTACGACTGCTAGCAGTCCGTATCGCCTGCCTGCTCACCATAAGACGGTTCAATAGGACTGACTGCAGGACTAAAGAGAATGACCTGGTCAAGTCACTCCAAATTTAGTCCCTGCGCCCATGTCTGCCCAGGCGCTCCCAGCCGACGTGGCCAGGAGCACCTCGGACACGACGAGGACGACTACCAATCATATTGCACCGTCTGCTGCTAGAAGGCAATGGGTTGCTGCTACTGTGCAGCAAAGCCGTACCGCGTCTGCCAGCACCCAGGAGACATAGGGTGACGGTTACCTGAGCGGGCTCCATGCTTGCCGTGGTATGGCGTCTGCACAGGTAACTCAGGAAAAAAGGCACGAAATGATTGTCTGCCCTTGCTTTCACGGAGGGAGGGAGGGAACGGGGGCCTGACGATATGTACCCAGAACCACCCGCGACAATGTTTTAGCCCCATCAGGCATTGGGATCTCAACCCAGAATTCCAATGGGCAGCGGAGACTGCGGGAACTGTGGGATAGCTACCCACAGTGCAACGCTCCGGAAGTCGACTCTAGCCTCGGTACTGTGGAAGCGCTCCGCCGAGTTAATGCACTTAATGCACTTAGAGCATTTTCTGTGGGGACACACACACTCGAATATATAAAACCGATTTCTAAAAAAACGACTTCTATAAATTCGACCTTATTCCGTAGTGTAGACATACCCTTAGTCTGTATTCGCAAAAAGAAAAGGAGTACTTGTGGCACCTTAGAGACTAACCAATTTATGCTCAAATAAATTGGTTAGTCTCTAAGGTGCCACAAGTACTCCTTTTCTTTTTACTGATTAAAGTGTTTATGATGTGACATATTGGGACACTGACAGACCAGCCAACCTGTGTATGACCCATAACAACTTAACAGGAGGCCTAACAATTGTAATCAAGACAATCTACTTATACATGAAATTTAAAGAGATGTAACTAGTTTACCTGCATATGCATAGGAAATAGAAGATTAGCTTCAAAGCAAAGGGTCACATCACCTATTATTCCTCTGGGGAAGGCCCTGCTGTGATGACTTCAGTAAGGAGACTTGTCAGTCTGCTAGAAGAGCTTTAAAGGAAAGCTTTGGCTGGATCCTTTCATCTCTAGTCTGCTTAAACTTTGAACAGGGAAAGTATAAATCGTAAGATGGAGAGCTTCCAAAGAGTAATTTGGAATACCCTGGAAAATGCATATAAGGACTTGAACAGACTCCATACCTGGCCTGCCTATTGGACTATAACTGTTTGAACTGATTCCAGAAAGACTTTTACAAATCAGCAGCCTCACCATGTCTGCTACGAAACTGACCTAAGGACTATATTTGTATGCATACTGATCTTTTAACCATTTGCAACTTTTTCCTTTTATTATTAAACCTTTAGTTTTATTTACGAAAGGACTGGCATCAGCATGATTATTGGGTAAGATCTGCAACTCATACTGACCTGGGAATTGGTGAACCTCACATATGGTGAATCAGGTTTTCAGTAATCCCTCATTATATTAGACTTGGCTGTCCTAGATGGGAACCAAGGGCTGAATTGCGGAAAGAGGACTGTGTTTGGCTTATTAACCAGTGTGGTACAACAGAAGCTATTTGGTTACTGACTTGAATCTAATTATGGAATAAACTATCAGTTTGAGGGACTGTCTGCCTTATTTCTTGCAATCTAACCTGTGTGGCATTCTCAGTGTGGCCTATCCAGGTGTCACACACGTATATTTACTGGATATAGTTTATGAAGAGAATGTCTGTGCAGAGATCAATCTGTTCCTGTTATGATGATGTAATAAGATTACTTTGAAAGAGCTGCACAGGACTTCATCCTCAGTTCAAATCATGCAAATATAAGATTTTATTTCATTTCTCAAGAATTTCACAACCAAGAAGCAGAAGCAATGCTCTAGTAAGCAGAGAGAGCTAGTTAATGCTAAAATTCTCTGTAGTATGACAGTAAATTACGCAATTATTCCCCAGATGTATGTTCCATGCATAGCTGGCATTCTGTCTGCAATCCGGTAAAGTAGACCTGAACACTTCACCGGCTAGAGTCCATGACAGCAAATGTCCCATGAACAAAACAGTATATGTGTATGAGGATAAACCTGAATATGTTACTGAATTTTAAATTTAAAGACTTGGCAGTTAAGACTAAAAAAAAAAAATGGAGAGGCGTTATTTTTCCCTCTCAAGTTATGCAGACAAAAAGGCTTCTTAAGAGTTGTAGCCCATAGCAACCCTGCAGCTTTGTGGAGGAGCTTCATAGAAGGGGAGAGGGCAGGGGAGAACCCACCACCAAAGAAAGGTTGGTATTATGATTATTTTGTGTGTGGTTACATAACTTTATTTATTCTAGTTATGTAATCCTATTCCTGCAGTTTGCCTTGTATATCACCCTTTCATCACTCCAGTATGGAAACACTGAAATGTTGCATTTTTAATGATAGGACTTACAGTGGTAGCTCAGAGCATAACAAAACTTTTCCCTAGCATATGATTGGCAGAGCTGTGGTCAAGGATAAATATTACCTTTGCGTCTCCCCATGCATTGTACCAATTAGCTCTTCTAGCTGTTTTATAGAGAAAGGTAAACTGCAAAAAAAAAGAGTGGGGGTGGGGAGCAGATGAGGTTGTATTGGATTTATAAAGGCCCCATAGGTTCTAATTTTTTTCATTTTGTATTTTTGATATTGGCAGTGTAGTCTACCCTGTTCCTTCTGGAATATCATGGATTACAAAACTAGTGACACTGATGTAACTATCAAGGATATGAAAAGTGACCAATATGGAGGAGAGAGGATTGTTTACATCCATTTATTCCCACAGTTCGACATCCCACTTGTGATGAAATCCTTTAGATAAAGAATTAGGATCCCAAGATTTTCAATAAGGGCTCAAAAATATTCTATCCCAGTATTCCAGTCCAGTCCATCAAAAACCAGAAAGATGATGTAATAGCGATGTCAGACTAATGCAAACAAACAAAAATGTCAGTCTTTCTTCATATATCATGCATAATAAAGGAGCACAAACCCTTTGCAGGTCACCTTTACAAATGCAGCTAACAGCAGTAGTACAGGATAAGTACGCAACATAAAAGAGAAATAAGATTTGAATGACATTACTCTTGAAAAGTAAGATGCGGAAATAGCACGCAAAACATTCTAAATCTAC